CAGCCATGAAGCAATTCAACTTGCAATCGAGCTCCGAAAACTATCAGGCATACAAAAAGGTCGCATCCAACTGCAGAAGAATCCTCAGAAAAATTAAAAGGAACAAATGGCGCGAATTCTGCGGAAGTTTCCATGGAAATATTCCCACCACTCAATTATGGAATATTGTCAAAGCCTTCAAAAACAGAACGAGCGTCTCTCCTCCACCCTCCTCTCTGTCCGCTTCAGAGATTAATGCGGCCCAATCTGCCACCATTAATAAAATTTGCCCACCATCGTGCAGCACTGAAGACCCTCTATCTCTCCAATCCATGCAGTCACAAGACCTAGCCGCAAATCACACAATACATGAAAATCTTGACAAACCAATTACACTGGAGGAACTCAAGCTATCAATAGAGTCCGCAAAGGAAAAATTGGCCCCGAGTCTAGATCAAATAGATTACACAATCATCAAAAACCTTCCTTCCAAATACATCGCCTCACTGCTCAACATCTACAATCTATCCTTCAACGAAGGCTCATTCCCGGAAGAATGGAACCACGCTTTGGTTATCCTAATACCTAAACGGGGCTCCGCAAGATTTAGACCCATATCCTTACTGTCATGTTTCTTCAAAATCATGGAAAAAATTATATATTGGAGAATGAAATGGCTCACGGAATCAAGTGCCTTACTTCCCAACAATCAACTGGGCTTCCGCCCCCTTAGTTCGTGCACTGACAGCTTGATTACTCTAACTAACTACATACGAGGAGGCTTTATAGATAATGCCAATACGGTCTACGTGTTCCTCGATATCGAGGGAGCGTTCGACAACGTCATCCCTTCCATCTTATTGGAAGATTTATTTCAACTCGGCATCCCGGCAAAAACCAGAAAGTTTATAACCAACGCCATTTTCGAGCGACAAGTCTCGTTCATCTGTGATGGTGAACTCCAAGGTCCATACGTCTCACTGAAGGGTACTCCCCAGGGCTCAATTCTCAGCCCCCTCCTACTCAATTTATACTGAGAAAAAATTAACGATCACCTACACAAGGACACTCTACTACTCCAATATGCTGACGACATAGTTATCTTCTCGGCGAATCAAGACATCAAAGCCGCTCGTCTTTCAGTTCAAACATCTCTAAACAGAATCCACACGTATCTGAGGAACAGGGGGCTGGAACTATCAACGACCAAAACGCAATGGATGACATTCACAAAGAAGAAAGACAACTTCCCTGATCTCCACATCTACATCAAAGGAACGGACATTCCCAGAACTCGAACAGTAACCTTTTTGGGAGTCATTCTAGATCCCAAACTCAAAGGCAAAAAATATTTAGAATATTTAATCAAAAAAGGTCGCACCCTCACCAATATTCTCTCGGTTCTAGCCGGTACCAAATGGGGATCACACCCAAGGCTACTTCTTAATCTGTACAGAGCAATCTTCCGCTCCTCAATCGAATACGGTTGCCAAATCTTCAGACTAAAAGGTAATAAGATAGAATTTTTGCAGCTAGAGCGCTTGGTTAACAGAAATTTACGTACTGCCTTGGGATTTAGACTTTCTACTCTCATTAATGTAATCACGGCAGAAGCTAAAGAAATGCCTCTTTATCTTAGATTTGGCTACACTCTCTCTAAGTTTACATACAAATGCCTATCAAAGAAAAACTCCCCTGTTCTTAACAGCTTGAGATACATAGAATACATTACTTACACCGCCAATAGACGACAACAAGCCTTGATTGCTATTCCAATTCTAAAATACTACGTCATGCAAAAGCATTCCATAGATATTATGCAGCGATACTCTCGCCCATCCGCTTTCAGAATGTCTCTGGAAAGTTACACTTACACTCATAGCTTTGACAACTCAATGGCAGATATTCCCAAAAACTCAAACAATAGAATCTATCAGGCCCGTTATACGGAGATCTCAGCTACATATTCTTCCAGGGGTCCTCTACTTTTTACGGACGGATCCAAGAGAGACAATGGAGAACAAGTTGGAGCAAGCATTTTCTCAGCAGAACTAAAAATTAGGCTTAAACATAAACTACCTGCAGAGACTTCAACTTTTTCTGCCGAAGCCTGGGCCATTCTTCTAGCCACATTCCTAATTGAGGATCGATGCTGCAACGAAGCTACCATATTATTAGATTCGAAGAGCGTACTACAAGCCATTTCATCTCAAAATTGCAGGAGCACTAACTACATTATTCATGAAATCAAAAATAGTCTCTGCCAAATGACGAGACAAGGATTCATCGTCCACCTAGTCTGGATCCCGGGTCATAAGGAAATTCAAGGCAATGAACAAGCAGATCGACTTGTCAATGAAGCAGCTATACACGGACATCATCCCAAATTCAAGATTCCCGTCCAGGACTTTGCGGCGCTAGCTAAGAGTGCTTTTAATAATCAATTTCAATTGTATTTAGACCGATCCGCTGCCATCAAAGGCCATTGTATGACTCTATACATAGAAATACCTCTCCCAAACCGTGGTTCTATAATAAATCGTTGAACAGAAACGAAATTGTCACTATTTCCAGGATTCGTTCTAACCATTACAACCTGGCCTACAGTCTGCATCGAAAGAATATTATAAGCTCTCCGGAATGTTTCTGCGGAAATCCTATTCAGGATATTAACCACATCTTGTTTTACTGTAGTCAATGTATCGGCAAATCCGGAAGACTAAGATCTTATCTTAAAAAACATTTTCCTATGCACCCTATTGACATTCACTTCATGATTCGCAATCCGCCACCCACGCTGTGCCGTTTAATCTGTGCTTATCTTAAATCAGTAAGCCTAAATGTATAATCCTCTAGCAAATTTGTCTGTTTGTCCTTTTTTTTCTTTGCTCAGTGTCGCCGGCTGGCGACAATAAGTGTCTTCAACCTATCCTTTAGGTTATATGACACACAAAACTCTCCAATCTTGACTGTCTATTCCAAAATACCCTAGATGACCCTATTTATACTCCTAAAAAAGTTATAGACTATTCTCACAGCTGTCCATCTACCTCTCTTAATCCAAGTGAAAATACTATTCTCATCAAAAATGCCTCTACTTCTAAATTCCAAATCTAGTCGAATTCTGGTTTCGTCATATTTACTACATCTCCATATAACATGATCCACATCCTCAATCTCATAACCACAATCACATCTAGCACTGTCAACATAACCTTTTCTAGCTAACGACTCATTAAGATTATAATGATTCGATCTAAGCCTGTTTACGAAAGTCACAAAAGCTCTTTCCTCATCAAACTCCGCAAACCAAGGTTTATTCATAGCAGGGTTGTAAAAATTCTTAAAATAAGAAGTACCAACAGCTCTAGAATTTTGAACTATAGTGGATTGCGTATTATTCCACATATTCTGTCTAAATAAACTTCTAACATCTAAAAGAGGAACCACAATATCTCCCTGCAATATCTCCTCCTTAGATCCCTCTTTAGCCATTCTATCAGCTACCTCATTACCAACTACTCCTATATGCGCCGGTGTCCAAACAATTATTATATTTTTATCCATTTTATTATTTATTTCAAACAACCTTTTCCTACTTTCTACTATATACATATTCTTATATACATTAATCTCATTATTGTTAATTGCCTTAATGACAGCTTGACAATCAGAGAAAATAATAACATCTTTTTTAACAGAAACAAATTCATTATAAATAATATCTAACACTGCTTTAATGGCAAAAGCCTCTGCTGTAAATGAAAAGCATTCTCTTGGCAAACTAATACTATATGCAGTAGTACTACCCTCCAGCACAACACCGGCACTGGTTGCAATTGAGTCATCAGATTTCGAGCCATCCGTGTAAAAGATCGTAGGTTCCATAGACAAACCAAACTTTTCGATAACTGCGTCAATAAATTCTCCATCATTAATCTCTTCTCTCTTACGTCTATATCCCGTCAAACAATCTATTTTCACTTCTTTTGTCAGTGCTTCATATCTAGTATCAAAAATCTCAAATCTTCGATTCTATCTCATAATTCTGTGGATACCTCTTATATTTTCCCATGCTTCCACAATAACACTCTTCTTAGCCAATGGATATCGGAAAACATGAAAATTTTCTAAATCCGTTAAAGAATCCAGCCTATTACTCATATAGTCTTGTCCATAAATGGCAATTTTGCTAACTTGATTACGAGCCAAAAAACCTGCTCTGTCTCTTAGTAACATAACTTTTGCTTCAGCAATCAAAACGTTATTTGGTGCAGAATTTCTGTATCCTAATGCCGTTCTAATTCCTCTAAATTGAGCTCTTTCTAGACTGAGTCTAAAACGTTTTTCACGAGGATAAAATATCATAATACCGTATTCTGCAACCGATCTTACTAGGCTCTTATACAGCATTAACGCTGTATTAACTTCAATTCCTCTAGAAACTCCGTTCATATATTGTAACATTGAATTGGCCAGAAATACTTTACCTCTAACTTCATTAATCTGTTTATGGAACTTTAAGTTGTTATCAAACCAGACACCAAGAAATTTTGTATTCCTTGAACAACTAATTCTAACATTTTTAACATCTATTACCATATCCATGTCTATCACTCCATGTTTTGAAAATTCAATCAGTTCTGTTTTAGAAGGTTGAAGTTCTAGACCCAATCGTTCCAAATTATTTGCTATAACATTAACCGCTCCCTCCAGAATATCACGGTTCCTATTTCTATCGACATCTGTTGAGTAAATAGCAATATCATCAGCAAACTGAACAATTTGTAAAGTATGCGGCAAACCTTCAGTAATATCACATGTATAAATGACATATAGCAAAGGGCTCAGAACACCTTGAGGTAAACCTTTATAAATTATTCTATTAATTATATTCTCACCATTAGTTATAAATTCTGTATCTCTACTACATAACCATCTCTCAACAAATCTGAGTATATTAGATGGGCAATTCAATGTAATCAGTTTATTTATCATAACACTATATCTAACATTATCGTAAGCAGCTGAAACATCCAAAAAAGCAGACAATGTATATTCATCTCTCAGCTGACCGATTCTGATATCCGTAGTGATTTTTACTAAGTTATCACCACATGACCTACCTCTTCTGAAACGAAACTGATCTTTATTCAAAACTTTATTGTTCTCAGCCCACCAAATAAAGCGTTCATTGACCATTCTTTCCATTAATTTACCAACACAAGATGACAACGCAATTGGCCTGACCTTCTCTTTATTAGCTTTATCTATAAAAAATACTTGATATTTATGCCAATCTTCCGGGAGTCGATGTTTCAACCAAATTTCATTAAACAGAGATAGCAATACCAACTTATATTCTTCTGGCAAGTTCTTGAGCATATTATAATCTATGCCATCTCTACCAGGAGCCGAAATCTTTTTAATCATAACCAGTGCTCTATCCAATTCTTCTATACAAAAATCCAATTCTAAACAATTATACCGTTCTTCTAATTTACTATTATTAATTGCGATATGCGGTTCTGGTACCCAAATAGGAGATAATTTTTCAATTTCCATCCTAATAGCTTGTTGTCTGTCTGCTTGTTGCCATGCATTCCATTTAATTCCTTTCCTAGAATTCTTAAATATTCTCATAACCTGCCATACATATTTCATATTCGAAAATTTGTTAATACTCGCACAAAAACGTATAAAACTATTTCTTTTCTTTTTATTAATTATTTTACGAGCTATTGCTCTAGCCTTTTTATATTTTACAAAAGAATGCTGATCTTTTATTCTAATATATTCCTTGAAACATTCCTTTTTATCGTTAATGACAGCTTCACATTCCGCATCCCACCAACCCAGTGAGAAATGACAATGGAATCGACATCGAATCGATATCGAATTGACGTCGAATTGACGTTGATTCGACATCGATTCCATTGTCATTTCTCACTGGGCAAATGACTTTATGACTCTCTTTATTTTTGTTACCTTTTTTCCTTTTGCAACCCAAATTACTTGTCTCTTCCTCTTCCTAATAGCCCTCCACTAAGAAAAGTTGTTTATATTCTATAAATTTATCCGACGTGTACAAAACTGCAGCTTTGATATATTTCAAAAAAGTAGAATATTTGCTTTCCAAATCGACCACATTAACCATTTCTTGTCTCAGATTCTCAACACGATTGTCCACCATACATAATATTTTGTCCAATCCGTCTTTTTGGTAGAAATTCTATTATTCCTCTTCATATAAGTTTCCTTTTTAGTATTTATCTCCAACCAAACTGGAAAATGACTCAGAACCCCATGAGTCTTGTAATTGTTGATAGTCTGCGATACCTAAAATTCCTATTGAGCAAAAAATTAAATCCAAATTTGACGATCTTTGTCTAATATCACCAATTCTGGTCATAGTGTCGAAATTCAAACAAAAGTATCCATTATCTCCAGCTGATTTACTCAAATTTTCACCATTTTTATCAGTATCGAAACAATTCCACATACTATTATGCGCATTAAAATCACCTACAATTAGCGTATTTACACCTTGATAATCAAATCCAAAAATATCGTTCCATGCATCATAGTTATCCACATTATATGGTCTTCTATAAACGGCAACCACATTAATATTAGGTATAACATTACAGATTTTAATCCCAATAACATCTATGTTATTGGATCTGCAATTAATATTATTTATTAAATAAACATTTAAATGCCTTTTGGAGAGAATAACTATTCCTCCACTAGTCCCCTGACTTGATTTAAAAAATAAATTAAATCCTGAAAATTTCATTTGCGACTCAACAGACGCTTTGTTTCAATAAGAACTATAATATCAAAATTCTTAAAATTATTAGTTAATTCTGATTTCTTGCCTCTTATTCCCCTAACATTCCATACTAAAATATTTAGAGGTGTGTGTGTCATTATTAGTAACGTCCTCCACAGTACTCATTAACTTCTCTATTATAACTTTCTTTTACTACGCTATCTGAAACACGTCTTACTTTCCTTAAATTCATATTATAATCAGCTCTCTCTTTATCTAAATAATCTATTCCTCGAAACAGGGACAATGTTTCATCATCCAAAGATTCACGAGATGTATCAACACCTCTAAGTTTTTCAATGAGTTGAACCACCATATCTCTAAAAGCCCTACTACTGTTAATATACAACTTAATGTTTTCCATCAAATCAGAATTATTGTCCAAATTCTGACTATAAGCCGAATATCGAGATGTTGTTATCGGCCTTCCATTTGTCTCATTACCATTAGGGTTCATATCTTGCCATCTTTTAAGTGCAACACCTCTTGATGATTTTAATATTTCTTCTTCTCTGGAATTGTAATAAAATTTATTCCGACTTCCATCAGATTTAGTAGATTCATATCTCCTCTTCTTATCATAAGATGAATCTTCATTCCCCCGATTTCGAGGTAAAGTTTTTATAACCTATATGAAACATTCTCAGTTAACCTAGGTTTCTTATTAACAAAAGAATCAGAAGGATCCAAATCATCACGAGTCCCATTATAATCACCAGGTAAACGCGGCCAACCTTGCGGCTTATTATATCTGTCATAATTACGTCTTCATAATTTCCGAACCCTCTAAGATTTTTGCTGCTTCATAAAAATTACATTTATTAGAGCTCATAATAACTTTAATTGATTTATTATATGCGTACATCGGACAATTTCTTGTAATTGATCTATGATCTCCTCCACAATTTATACAAATGTCATTTCTGTCACATCTACCATAGCTAACTTCTGCACATACTATACATCTCCTTTCACTACGGCAAAAAGTTTGCACATGACCATATCTAAAACAATTAAAACACTGTCTAACTGGTTCCACAAATGGTCTAACTCTAAGCGCAGTTAATTTATTATAAATATATAAGGCAGATATCAGTTCACGTCCCCTCATAGTAATCAGTATATTACTCGAATATTCAAAGGAAAATGATTTATCTATCGGGTTTTGTTTTCTTCTCTTCATTCTCTCCAATTTAACAATACCAGTGACATCTGTAATACACTCTATCAACTCATGGATAGAGAATTCCCAGCCGATAATAACACCTTTACATAGTACTAATCCATCATCTATACGACCACTGATAATCCTATTCTCCTCTTTAATTTTCTCCAGCGCATTCAGACACAGATTAGCTTCTTGAACATCATTAAAAATAATTACCGCTTGATTAAAGCTAATCATATCAATAAATAATGGTTTAATATTCAGTCTCGATAAATTCATAAGTATCTTTACCATATTATTCTTTTTATTAGAGGAACAATCCTTTTTTTCTAATTTAATAACAATCTTATAACTATTATAATATATTATAGGACCGTACATGTGATAACACAAACTATAGAAATCAAAGCCTTACACGATCTAGCTGGATCTTAATGCTTGTATGATTCTTATGTGAATTTATATACTACGTATGTAGTCCCACAGAAACGCGCGCCGAAAAATTTCCGGTCTTGAAACGCTAACTCTACTAAACTACCGCAGTAATATCACGTAATATCACAAGGCTTTGATTTCTATAGTTAATCTTATAACTATTAAATTTATCTTTTTTAAATCTTACTTCCCGAAATTTAAGTATCTCTGACATAGATATTCTATTATCCGGTTCAACTTTTTCTAATCTGTTATTTTTCAATATGTACATTTCTTGACTATATTTAGAACGTATATCAAGATTTCTGTTACCTTGAGAAGGACTCTCGCTATTGACTTCTTCTAAACTTACTTGACTGTTGTCATTCTTTTCACCACATTCCATCACACAATCCATATCAATATGTGCTCCTTCCTGATCATTTTTATTGTAAAGCTCATTTATATTTTTACTTCCTCTATCCATCATTGTTAATCTCTTAACTTGTTTATTCTTCTCTACATTATTAACTACTTTCCACATTTCGTCTTCGTCCTTAGACATTATCTCTTTTTAGTAATTATATCAAAATTTTCCTCCGTCACCATCATCCTCTTCTCACTCCTCGTATCCTCTTCTTCCATCTCACTCTTCCTCATCTCCTGCAGAGGTCCTATCGCAACCGGTGCACGGTTTGGTACATGACTATTATTATTTTTTTTTTAAATTCCCCCTTCCGATGGGGGACCTACAAAATTTACGCGACTTGCCTATATTTAATCAAATAGCCCTAGCCAAATTAATTCTCAATTAAACACCTCCAAACTAAACTTTTCTAAAACTTCCACAGAGAAAAGCAAAGCCTCAACGAAAACACGTCTGAACTCTACAACAGATCAACTCAGTCTCTTTTTTTTTGCTGTTCGTTCTTACAGAGGCGATGAGAGTTAAGTCCCACGCTTCTCCCCAGGTGTCGCGAGCGCCTGGGTTTTCCTTTGTTTCAGATACTTTCGGGGGACGCTCCCCTCTAGACTGGCCGGATTCACCGTCTATTCGATGACGAGTGCCATATTAAACCAGAAAAAAGAAGAAGACTATGTTTTGATTTGATTATAGTCTCGCGAGACCGCTCGAGCGGGATGGACGTGCGTCACGCCCGCTTCGGGTGTTGCATCATCTCATCCATTTTTTGAAAAACGTTTCCGGCTTCGACTGTGCATTGTGTTGCATTGTTTGTCTTGATTACATTATTGTTTCGTCCCGTTCACCGGTTTGAGGTGACCGATGTATCATACTTTGATTGCACGATTTATTTACGATTTTGACCGAAATCGTCGCCATTTTTGCGGCGAGTGCCATCAATTTTGAAGAAGAAGAAGACTATTTTGATTGTAAATTATTTAAAGGTGTGCGTATACGGTGGTATACGGTGGTGCAATGCACAAATAGACAACTGTGACAAAAGGTGTGCAAATTGTAATTGCAACTCCGGAAGATTAAACGATTTGGTTCAAGCAAATGTATTGGATGTGTCGGCTGTGACGTATCTTATACTCGATGAAGCAGATCGTATAGTGGACATGGGTTTCAAACCTCAAATTCGTAAGACTCTTCTAGGTGTACGACCAAATAGACAAACTGTTATGACAAGGTATATAAGTCATGTTTTTAAAAAATTCTTACCTCTTTTAAAAATGGGATTTTTTTAAGGAAAAGAGAAAAAAATTTAATCATAATTTTTTGTCCTTTTAGAATATATATTTTCTTTATTTCTATTTGTAAAATTTATTAGATATATTACTTCTTTAAATAAGTAATTTGTATTACCTCTCTCTAGAATAATTCAGAATATATAGTTTATCTAAAAATTCATGTATAATATCAATATTATATTATAATTAATAAATATGATCTAATATAATACTTATCCTTTTCAGCGCTACGTGGCCCCAGGGTATAAGACGCTTAGCCCAGTCATACATGAAAAATCCGATTCAAGTATTTGTTGGATCATTTGACTTAGCAGCTGTTCATTCTGTAACACAGAGGATTATGGGTATGATCAATGTAATGCTACAAATGCTTTAAAGCGTTTTTTGATTAGTCAACTTGTAAAATTCTTTCTTCTGATCAGTCCACCAAATGCTTTAAAGCATTTGTAGCGAGACTTTGTCCACAGCCTATATAAAATTGACTACAAATTATTTTGAAAATGTCATATTAGTTCATTATTATTGTTAATGTATTGTAGATGCATCAATTCTTCCAAGAAATGGGCCCTCACGATAAAGTTATAATATTTTTTGATAAGAAATCAAAAGTGGACGATATTTTTAGTGATCTGGCTTTAACGAATATCGATTGTCAGAGTATTCACGGCGATAGAGATCAATCAGATAGAGAACAAGCATTAGAAGATCTGAAGACTGGAGCCATTCAGATCCTTCTCGCAACCGACGTGGCTAGTCGAGGAATCGATATTGAAGATATTACGTAAGTTTTACATACTGATACATTACATTATTTAAGATATGACATCAATATATTTTTGTCCTCATTTTAGACACGTACTGAATTATGACTTCCCATGGGATATAGAGGAATACGTTCACCGAGTCGGTCGTACTGGACCCGCAGGTCGAACAGATGAAAGTATCACTTTTATGACAAGACAGGACTGGCATCATGCTAAAGCACTCATTGATATTCTTGAAGAGGCTAATCAGGTTAATAGATATACAAGGAATATTTTAATTCTTACCAATTTTGTGTAGTAGAATCCACCAATTTGTACTTTTTAGTTCAGGAAGTACCTGAGGAAGTATATAAAATGGCTGAAAGATATGATGCATGGAAAAAGAAAAAAGAACAAGAAGATCCATATGGAAGAGGCAATAGAGGTGGTAGACGCGGCTATCGTAGGATGTAACATGATTAATTAATGATGTTAGGACTTAGGTTACATTATGTTTAGTATAATTAGTACCAAATTTAACACATACATATTGTGATACTATTTTTAGTCCATACAATATCGGTAAGACTAATTTCGTGAAACAAAACGGTGTTCCTTTTCTTTATTTTTTTGTTGATTGTCAAAATTAACTATACATGAACAAGATCTATTGTAACTCAATCTTATTGAAATATTAATATTAAAAAAAATGCTTGCGACAATTAGAATAACGATAAAATGCACTGTAATCAGTGACATTTAACTATACTTCTTTAGTTATTAATTGCAAAATATAATTTTGTATTACAAAGTACTATTAAATGTGCTAATTAGTATATCCTTTGTTTCTCATCTAAGTTCTCTCTTTATACATCGTATTTTATATTTGTTTAAAAGAATGTTTATGTTTACGATATTCGAGGTTAATGAATATATTTTTTACTTACAATTAGTCAATTCATATTTATTTTTTAATCCACAACACAGATTATTTTAAATATATAACACAAATAAATATATTATTCATATGTTACATAAAAAATAATGAAATGAGTAGCAAGAATATATATTTCATCAGAGATGGCATCACTAAAAATATGTTATAAGAACATAATAACTTTACTGTAACTTAACTTTTTCTAAAAGTAATTCTATATATGTATTATCCAATCGATTTTATATCTTCTGATATATTAAATTTATTATAAAAATAGTATTGCGTTAGGTTTGAAATTATAATAAAATACAGCAACATTTCAAAGAAAAAAGAACAAGTTCTTTCAAATTGATTCATAAAATTCAAGAAACCTCTGTTTCATTCATATCAACATTTAAGTAAAGGTTTTACAAAAATACATAACTATCGAGATAAAATATGATAAAATAAGATGTATAATGTATTAAGTAGCCACTTTATTGTTAAAATCGAGAAGGCTCCGATTGCTGTTTCTGCAAAGAAAAAAAATACATAATATAAATAAAAGATTTTATAACTGCAACATGATGTTTTATACATTAAAACATGCAGATATAAATAAATTACGCTATTTTTATCATGTAACTTTTTAAACATAATCTCAGATAACATTGCAGCTACATTTGCTATATATTCACACTGTAATTTATATTATCCATGGATTTTTCATATTTTAAATTTTATTATTCTTTTACAAATTTATTTTATTCTTAAAAGGATATTTTTATATTAGACACATTATTTGTATAGGAGGGCTCCGATTGCACACATCGCATATTGCACACATATATCGCTGATTAGCCAATTTAAAAATAAAATAATCTCATTGGCAAAACAGTAAAAAATTACTAGGCACCAGTTGATATGAGTGTGTACAATCAGAACTGTAGGCAAACGGGATCCTCCCCAAGATTTTACTGTACTGTTTAAATCATTATATTGCTCCCATAATCCTAAAAGTCTTTTACAATAAGCAACAAAATGACCGGGATAACCCGCAACAACACCTACCAATCTGAAACATTAAATTAATGATATTACTTGTTATTTCAAAATAATATGTAATTTAATATGTAAGACAATCATATTATATTTATATGTATTCAGAGACCTTGTAAATATTCATATATATGTTTATTAAATTAAGAATAATGTGGAAAATGTAGACTGGAAGCCATCCTAAGCCACAAGGCAAGGATTATAATAAAATAAATAAAAAATCAATAAAATGTAAGACAATCATACCTATATTGTTTTTTCAACGTTAGCATTATTGGTTTTTTAATTTACAAGATTTTGAAGTATATAGATTGAAGATTAGCTCTGACATCTAATTCTATAAAAACGTGGTAATTAGTTTCGGTTGTTAGAACAGAGCAGCCTCCACATTTACATCGTTTGTTGTAAACAATTTTATGAAATTGCAATGCTTTTTGTAGAGCATTAAAGCCTTTTTCTATAATTATTTTATGATTAGGCATTAATGTCACAGTTGTCTATTTGTGCATTGCACCACCATATACGCACACCTTTAAATAATTTACAATCAAAACATAGTGCAAGCACTGAACTCTATACTGGAATGGGCATCTCCGCTGTGATGCATAGAAAATCATGGCCGCGACTGATCAGTCGCCATCTTGGCTCGATCAGATGCCTG